CCCCCCAGAATCAACGACTTCCCACTCCAGGCTGCCAAACCTTTGCTGCCAGCACCCAATCCCCCAAAACTGCCACCCCCCACCTTATGGCCGGCATCTCGGAGCAGCTTGGCTGCTGTCAGCCCGCTGATCCCAGCCCCAACGATGACCACGCTGGACGGACGCGCGGTGGGCTCCAGCCCATTCTTCACAATGCTCAGCAGCTCCTCGTAGTCTTTGTCCTGGAGGCAATACTCAGGGAAGCACTGGAACCTCTTGGCGCTGGCGAGTCCCAACAGGAGGAGCGTTTGGAAGAGGGCTAACGAGGAATGGTAATTAAACGTCATTCGCGTGCGGGGAAGGGAGGCGATTTAAATGACTAAATCGTTGTGCCTGCTGCCCGTCACAGTGATTTATCCCATGTTTTTTTTTTATCCTGGGTGGCACAATGGAGGAACAGAGATTGCACTGGGGATACAAAGGGATTAAATACCTGTAATCCATCATTATACGCATATCTGTGATATCAGATAGATGAAGACAAGTGATAGAAGTGCGAACAAAAACCCTGACGAGGAGTTCCTGATTTTTTTTTTGATTTTTTTTTTTTTGTTCTACTACCAGATTACTTTCATTTTCTCTTCCAGTTTCTTTCTGGGAAAAGATGAGAAAGAAGGAAAAAAAAAAAAACCCAACACCTTTTGTAACCACACTGTGAGTCATCTTTATTCACAGGAAAACCTGTGTTAAAAGCACAGCCCGGCTGGACCAGCCCCAGTCCAACTCACGGGCAGTGGTTGAAGCCCAGGGCTGTTCCCCTGGAGGTGATTTCTCAGAGCTGTAGGATCAGCCTCGCTTTCCTGGAGGTGCTGACGGTGGTCATGCAAAATAATTAGAGAGCGGCTGCTGTAATTAGCCTGGTTAACAGCAGGGCTGCCTTAAAACGTGGCTGAGAGTGATGCCAGGCAGGAAAATGGCATTAATTGTCCTGGTCTGACACCATCACTGCCCTGACCTCCCTGAGGGACAGCGTCCTGAGGGGGGTTTTGAGCTCAGTGCATCCCACCTGGTAACCCCAAACACCTTTGGATGATGTGGAAGACAAAGATCTTCTTTAGAGATCAGGAGGTCTCCATCCCACTGAGTGTGACCTCCCAAAATACTGTGGGGTGGGGTGGAAGGCAAAGGGGATCTTTTATGGGGGTGAAGAGATCTCCATCCCATCCAACATGACAACCCCAAATACTGTGGGGTGATGTGGAAGACAAAGGAGATCTTTTCTGGAAGTCAAGAGATTCCCCATCCCATCCAACACAGTAACCCTAAAGACTGTGGGGTGATGTGGAAGATAAAGGAGATCTTTTCTGGAGGTCAAGACATCTCCATCCCAACATGACAATCCTAAATACTGTGGGTTGATGTGGAAGACAAAGAGATCCCATCCAACATGACAACCCCAAATACTGTGGGGTGATGTGGAAGATAAAGATCTTTTCTGGGGGTGAGGAGATCCCCATCCCATCCAACACAATAACCCTAAATACTGTGGGGTGATGTGGAAGGCAAAGGAGATCTTTTATGGGGGTGAAGAGATCCCCATCCCATCCAACATGACAACCCTAAAGACTGTGGGGTGAGGTGGAAGATAAAGGAGATCTTTTCTGGGGTG